TCAAACTTTTCGATCATGGCATGCATTTCATTGCCATTGCCTATGTCCATAGAGGTTTGGAAGGCAGATCCACCAATCAACTTTGCTTCTCTAGTGCGCTAAATCATTGCTGATTCAGCAGCAACAAGCAAATAGGTGAGATCGATGAGGGTCACGTCGCGGTCTATCATATAGTACTCTCTTACGAACTCACTATATGAGTCAGGAAGCAACTGAAGAACCCAGTCAACAGCCAGCTTCTCACAGACAACGACCCCCAATATTCGTCACCTATCAATGCGTGACTTCATCTCTAAGACGTGTGCACACACTGACTTGCCTTCTTCATGTTTACTTGCCAAAAGGGCTTGAGTGAGCTTGAACTTTTCAAGCCTTTGAACTTGTGGGTTAGGAAGAACAATAGGAGGAGGTGGAGGAAGTAAAGCATGATCTCTTGTTCCTCGATCGAATCATGGAATATCATCTTCATGTGGAAAGCTTGTTCCAAGGGATTTGGGAAGACCATAGTTGTCATACTTTGACATCTACAAAACGGGAGAAAATTCAAGTTAGTTGATTGAGTCCTTAATAAAACACCCAAATGAGATATTAAGGCTAGGACCCAACACAACATTCTACAACACGGAAGAGGGATGCCGTAATCCGGTCGCAGAATATTTGAAGGTAAGTGAACGACGATTCACTAATTTTCCACCATGAAAAACGAAAAAGAGATTAAGTTTTAAATGTATTGAAAACTCCTAGATCCTTTGAGATTCATTGAACTTTTCAATGGCATGTTTAAATCTCGATATGCCCTTCGATTTGTGACTGGGATTCCAGTGATCACAAAACAGGGTGTGAATAACCATGCAAACTTACATGGTGCCCCCAATGTTACAGTCACCTATTCGATGTGCTGGTTAACCACACACGCTCCACCGAACTATGACAACCATCGAGTCACCCTTCGCTACCTTTGCTTAGAACCCATTTAGTGTGCCGGTTAACCACACACGCTCCACTAACGTCTCAGCAAGGGTACAAAGTGTAATTTCATGGAATTGCATCAAATTCACTTTTGCCTAAAGTAACTAAGATTGGGAATTTTGTAAAAACATTTAGTTACTTTATAATTCATTATACTTTTAATGGAAAGGGTTTGCTCTATCCTACCCATTCGGCTAACGACCCTCCACTAGTCAAGAGTGCGGTGGGTAAGAGTGGATACCCAATGACGGTCATTTTACAGATCGCTTCCTTAAACATCCCTTATAGACCAGCTTCATGAATGAGGTCTACTAACGGTAAGACTAGCAGTTTAAGTTATACGTATATAATATTAGACTTTTCATGTTATATATAGTATAATGGTGTATTTTATACTTTTAAAATACTAGGTGGTTTAATTTTATAAATTACACTTTTAATTTAATCAAAAGGGTCCATATCATTATGAATTTATTAACTCTCTTAATTATACTTTTAATTAGCTTAATAAAACCACAAGGGTGTAATTTGAACTTTTTCAAAACAAGGGTTTTAAAATTTAAAATTTCAAAAATTAAACTTTTAATTAAAATTTAAATTCCAAAACTTGAGGGCAAGTTTTGAAACATTTCAAAAATAGGGTTTAGAATTTAAATATTTCAAAAATTAACTTTTAATCAAAATTCAAATTCCAAAACTTGAGGGCAAGTTTTGAAACCTTTCAAAACTATCTAGATCAAAATACAAATAAGGAAATTAAACAATTAATTGGTGATTATCTAGTTTTGACCTAATCTAATTTCATGTAAGATAATTGACCAGATAATTCAAATAATTTAGCATTTATCAAATAAGGTAACAATTATCTAATTAGATGACAAAAATCTTTTATTTTGACAAAGATAATCATAAGGAATCAATAAAATTCGTATTTTATTAATTTGAAACAATTATGACAATTATCCTAAGTCAAAATAGGCAAAAATCCCGAAAATTCGTCTGTCTGACAGCCAGACTCGCCGAGTCACCATATGGATTCGCCGAGTTCATCCTACTCGACGAGTCCACATTGGGACTCGACGAGTTGGTCAGGCAGATGGACAAAAACTCGACTTTACAATCAAGAATGAAACACTAAGCATCAATACAATAGAAACTAATTAAGGCTCTGATACCACTGATGGGTTTTATACAAAAGAACATCCTATGTGCTCATGCAAACCATAATGCTTGGATCTAGGTTTCTTTATTGTACATGCAATTCATCCAAGACTCAAGAACCCTAATCTAGCATATGCATTTCGAAATTATCACATAAGATCAGATCTAGATGATTACCTCTTCTTCAATGACTTGAATCTTCTTGTCTTTGGAGCTTAGAGTCACAAGTGTCACTCCTCTAATGGCTTACAAACACCACAAGCAATAAAATGATTTAGGAGAAGGAGGAGGAGCACCAAAAACGACCTAGGGTTCTTCCAAGGGAGTTCACCACGTTTTTGGGGCCATAGGGGTCTTTATATAGTGAGGCTATTAGGGTTATCAAACAAGGAAACCCTAATTTGACTGCTTAGGCTCCAAGCAGCCCATGGACTCCCTTTAGAACACCCCTTGGACGAATTCCTCATGGGCTTCCCATAGAATTCGTCCAACCTATGTTCCAAGGTGATCCATAGCCCAATTGCAATTATCTTATGATTACAATTCCAGTCCCCTAAGTTTAATTAATGTCTTTTAGTCACAAAACTAACTATCAATTAATTCTTGACTAATATTAATTAAACAATATGATTTCTCCTTTAATATATTAATCATATAATATATTAATAAATCATAACTAATCCTCTTTCTCCATAAATCATCCTGTCAAGTTTCTTTGGTGAAGGCAACCCAAAAGGACCATGCACAACTGGGTCAAGTACATACCAAATATAGTTACAGGCTTAGACACTAATCCAACAATATTATGTAGAGATTGATGTTGGATTTGAAGGTTATTGATGTTGGGTGATGGTGTTCCTGTTGAAGCAGTAAACACATGTGGCTGTGATGTAGGGACAATAGGAAGATTTTGATTGATCATGTAGTCGTGATCACTAAGCAAGGCATGCAACTCGATGAAGGTAATAGGTGGGTGATGGGCTAGAAGGGTGGACTTAAGTCTATTGTATTTTTCACGTAGCCTGAACATAACAAGAAGGACCAGATCCTTTTCTTTAACATGTTCACCAATGTTGGCAAGTGCAGCAGCATATTCTTGTGCACATGAAATGTAGGTAAGAGGAGTTTCATCGCCTTTCATGGCAAGTTTTGGCAACTGAGTTTTCAGTGTGTACTTTCTTGAAAAGTTGTTTGGAGCATAAAAACGTTCTAATTCTAACCAGAGATCTCGTGAGGTAGTACCTTGGACGTGTTGGAAGGAAGACTCTGAGATGGTGGAGATGATGACCATACGAACATGAGCATCGTTAGAGATCCAACGAGGGTAACTGGGGTTGTCTGTGGTTGCATCTCCTGTGCCAACTTTGGGCTCCGAGCAAGTTATTGTACCATCAACATAACTGAACAGATTGTTGGAGACAAGGAAAGGTTCGATCATAGCCTTCCAATACCCATAGTTTGTGGGTGAGAGGGTAAAAGCAAACTTGTGAGAGTTATGAGAGTTTTTCTCTTGTGTAGTGAAGGCAGTTATGGTCGCCATGAAGCTTCTTGATTGATCGTCGATTAGGGTTTAGGTCGTGTAAAAGGCTACAGACGTGAGGGATAACTTGGCTCTGATACCAAGTAAAATCGTGTATCGTTATTCATTAATCAAAAGATTACACGATCCTAATATAATTACGTACCCTCTAATATAAACAATGTATTATGTTAAACTAAACTTAGTACCAGACATAGTGCTTAACTTGAGATGAATTGATAAAATTGTAATGCTTTTTAAATACTTTTTGCAACTTTTGATGATCGATTTTAAATTGAATAAATGAATTTTTGATACTCAGGTATATAATAAACCTAAAGAGGTGAGATCGGGATTGTAGTGTGACCGCGATCGTTTTTCACTTATATGATCTTAAAATCGTAAGATCGTAAAATCAAAATCAAGATTTTAACAACTTTTGGTAAAAACTATTGTTTAGGGATAAAAATTAAAAATTATAATAAAATGTTTCAAAAAAAAAAGAAAAAATAAAAAAGGTGCAATGTGGGTGAATAGTAACGGGACAAAAAGCAAAAAGTGAAAAGAGAGGCCGAAAAACAGTACATTTAGACCTCATGGTGTACTGCGAGGAAAATGATTGGTGGCCGAAATCGCACTCAAGAACAACAAATCCTGGGTGCGGTTTAGGATTCGGGGTAAGTTCGTTAGGGGAATGGTTTCCATGTTCTCCCTTCTCTTCTCATTGGGCAAGACAACTCTCCATAAAAAAAATATAAAATTGGTAAAAAAAAAAAGTATGAAGAAGCCGAAGATAACTATTTTCATGAAAATTGAAAAGAGAGAAAGGAGAGATGAAAAAAATAAATCAAACCGGATTCAGTTAATTTTTGATCCGTCCATTAATTTCATTGCTCCGTCTCCCTTCTTGGAAGATTCTACTGGAACGCACAATATGGAGAATAATCATCTTTAATAAATGAATGTTTTTTTTGCCAAAAGTCAATCTCTAATGAGTTTTGACACTTGTTATTTTGTGATATTTTTTAAATAAATAATATCGACATCTCAATTTATGGTTTTTTTCAATTTTTAAAATTAAAAAGTCACATAATCTTATATTTATATAGGTAAAGTATCAAAAGTAATAAATATTATAATAAATCACAATTAATATGTTTCTTCATTTCTTATTTCAAAATTTTATTTTAAAAAATACTTATTATTTACATTTTAATATTTTATTTTTATTTAATCAACCCATACGATACACGGGTTTTACACATAGTTCATCAATATAGAGAGAGAAGCTATTCCTCAGGTTTATTTATCCTTTCGTTTATTTTTCCATAAAATTTGGGGTATGAATTTTGATGTGCGATCGGAAAACACGAAAACAATAAAAGAATTTAGGTTGTTACTCGACTGATCATTCTCTCTGTATCTGAAATTTTCATACGATTCATAAACCCTAATATATGATAGCCTAATTTGATCTACTGATTCTTTCTATCGAGCAACTACCTCTGTAACAGTTACATCATTAGTTGAACTTGTTGGGTAAGTACTTGAAGAAAAATCCGGCCCAAGAAAGTTCCTTTCCGTGAAAAATGCTGGTTGCTTAGGTTTCAGCATTGCTCCCTCATTGCCCAACATTAGAACAACAGACGACATTTCTGGCCTATCATCTGGACTTTGTTGCACACATAACAATCCCACTTCAACTGATCTTAAAACTTCACATGGATCGCTTGATTTGGAGAAAGTTGTATCAATGAGTTCCATTGTCCTTCCTTCATTATGCATTCTCCATGCCTAAATATGATATGTGAAAATAATTATTAGATACTAGAGTAGATGACTATAAGATATTCTGCAAAATGGTTAGATGCGTTTGGTTGTAACTTTTTTTTTCAGTTTTTTCAAAATAAAATTAAAATGAAAATGAAAATTTTGAAAATGCCTTTGGTTGATTTAGTTTTCATAAATTTTCCAAGAAAATGAAAATTTTCCGTTTTTCCAATTGTGTGTAAATTAGAAAAATGACTTTTACATTTTTCCAAAGTTTTCCAAATTTTTAAAACGGAAAATGAAACTCTATTGGTTTCAACCAAACGTGTTTTCTAAAGTTTTCATTAAAAACAAAAAATGAAAACTCAAACTCTATTTTTGGAAAATGTTTTCTAGAAAAATAAAAACAATTTTCCACAACCAAACACTCCCTTAAGGTTCCACCAACCAGTAAACATCATGTCAGATGTAAATCAGGTACACTATGGTCCACTGTGTGACTGACATAAAGATACAAAATCCAAATCAAATGAGTAATTTATGGCCGGTTAACGTACATGTCCGATGAGGTTATTGTCATGCTCAGGATGAACGAATCCCCTATTCCTCTTCCCGCTCACAATCTCAAGCACCAAAACACCGAAGCTAAATACATCCGATTTTATTGAGAAAATACCATCTAGTGCATACTCTGGGGACATGTAACCACTAAACGCAACAAAATGATTATAAAATTAAAAAACAAACTTATGAAAAATAAGTGGATGTAAATTTGGATTTATGTAGCTTGCTTACTATGTGCCCACGACTCTCTCGGTGTTTGCTTGAGTCTCATTTCCTCCGAAGCTTCTAGCAATGCCAAAATCTGATATCTTAGGGTTCATGTCCAAATCAAGTAAAATATTGCTAGCTTTAAGATCTCTATGGATGATTCTTAATCGCGAATCTTGATGGAGATAAAGAAGTCCTCGAGCAATTCCTTTGATGATGTTGAAACGTGTTGTCCAATCAAGTAATCCGCTTCGTGTTTTATCTGTGTCCAACATTTAGTTTCTATCAGATGGGGATTTTCGTAATTGTGAATTGATCAATGGCAGTTATGTAATTCTAACCAAATATAAACCAGTCTAAGCTTCTGTTTGGCATGTATTCATAAACCAACAACTTTTCATTTCCATCTATGCTGCATCCGAGTAGTCTAACAAGATTTCGATGCTGAAGTTTTGAAATGCAAATGACTTCATTTTTGAATTCATCAAGTCCTTGACTTGAAGTCTTGGAGAGACGCTTAACAGCAATTTCTTGTCCTTCTTCTAGTATACCCTGGAAATTACCATTTTGCCCTGTTAAAAACAATACAAACCCCCTAAGGCGACTTTCATTCATGTCTTTTTTATATACGATTACCTTATAAACCGGTCCAAATCCACCTTCTCCAAGTTTATTTTCAGGTGAAAAACTATCAGTAGCTTTAGCTATTATAGAAAAAGTAAACAATGGTAGCTCCATTCCTTCACTTTGGCTTTCTCCACCATGAGAATATTCCCCTGTTCATTACAATTACAAGAATCTACTTAAAGAATTCATATTACTCTACTTTTCTTATCTCTATTGAGTTCCCACCATTTTAATTTTCTCTATAAATTATGCAATATTCTTACCTTCCCTCTTTGGTTGTGGATGGTGCCTTTTTCTGCATATATACCAGAACCATGTAGCACTCAAGCCTATCACAACCCCCAAAAAAAATTGCTGGTATGATTATTTTCATTTTTGATCTTCCCTTCTTTTCAAGAACATTTTGAGCAACTGTACATAATGACATTGAACGAAAGTAAGCAACAAGAAAAGTGTTTAGGGATACAAAAAACATAGACTATTAATTCCAAGATTCTTTTAAAGGATTACATTGAACCTTTTATATTAGGTGGATCTAAACATTGGCAGTTATATTCCCAAATTTTTTAAAATCAAAATCCGTGAAAATTTACTTACAAAAAAAGCTTGTCAATAACATGATCATTTGAAGAAAATCATGGGAATCATGTGATCTTACAACTAAAACATAATAATTTAACATGAGAAATAATCCAAAATTTTCGGGCAAATTCAAAATTTGAGCCACATCGGGCCCATTGAGAGGTTTAAGTCCATATAAAGTTACGCTCATAACTCCTATAGAATTAAAAGCTATGTCTGTTTGAAGTTGAGCCTTTTTTCACCCCTTCTGTAATACCTTTTATTCATTTAGGAATCTAATAAGTCTTCGATAACTTGCTCGACACATCATATATACTAACATGGCAACAAACTCATCTACTTGCATATATGTAGTAAACATAATAATAATAAAAAAGTTACATGGTGTGAAAAGTCATTACCTAATTCCGAGGAAGCCATTCTTATAAAGAGATCCTGACCTCCATTTCCCTCCGAGTATACTCTAATGTCCATAAGTTCATTGAAGAACATCAAACAACCACTTCCATCCCCTCTAATATCTGTATTTGCAAAAGCCATACAAGAACAATTCTTTAAGCATCTTGCTTCACATTCTTTCAAACTCATACTCATGTTAAACCATGAACTCTTTGTGTCAGGCAATTTCACACTAGAATACTTAACAAATCCATCAGATCCATTTTTACAATCCAATGGTGTTCGCCTCACACATCCACCCGACCAATCTGCTATCTGCCAACCCTTTTGGTTTTTGGGCATGAATCTTTTCTCATCGATACACCCACATGTCTGTGATGTCAAAATACTACAACTTCCATAAGCATTACAGATGTTATATGTATCACATATATCTTTAGGTAATGCCAAAATAAGCTGCCATTTTTTAGCTTCTTCTACCCACACATAACGTTCTAACTGCCCAGATGAATTCAACGCAAATCTTGATTCCACAGAACTGTTTTGAAGATAATAAGTATAAGCAACCTCTGTTTCGTTAATAATATATTCGGTTGTAAAGATCATACTCTTACTAAACCCAGAAGCACCACTGAACCTTACACCATTCCATGGTCCACCCCGGAACTTGATCGATCCATAATTTCTAAGTAGATTCTGAGGGTAGCCACGTGTGTCAACAGTCCACGTGTAATCACCGGGAGCTGGATCTTGATTACTCTTCCATGATGATAAACCCCATTCTTTTCCTGTCAAGAAGTTTCTCCCGAACTTCATTCCAGGAAGAAGGGTATCAGTTGGATAATCAAAACTCTGCCATAGAATCTTGTTCTTGATGATTCCATCTCTGACGACTAGATTTCCGAAGTCGTCAAGCTGTGCAATTGCGGTCGTGCCTGATGACGTCATGTTGGTTGACCATACGACATCGTTTGTGTCGTTGACGAGGACTAGATTTCCTGTTTCGATGATCTTTAGAGTGCCTGAAGAGTCACCGGGGATTGGGTTGTTTCTATTGGCGACCCAAACCACCGTTTGAACAGGGATCTTCTTATACCAAATACCGACGTATTTGTTATCGGAGTTTCCTGGCCGGAAAAACCCTAGTTCTAAAAGTCCGGCCGGTGAGACCAAGGTGTCTCCTTCTGTCAAGAATTTTGAATCTGAAATGGTGTGGAGTTCGACTGAAGAGATGCTTTGAATGTTGAGTGGAACAAGTAAAAGAAGAAATATAGTTGCTTTCTCCATTGAAATCGGGTCGCCCAAGCTTCTAATTCTCTACCTCATGTTTTGTTTCTATCTCTATAAGTCTAATGGTGGTCACCTACCATAATACGTACAGCGTACCGGTGCATTATGGAGTGAGCACTTAATGCCTTGGGTTGTATTTATTTTATTATTTAATTTAATTGTACCTATAACATTTCCAAGGTAAATAGAATCATGGATGAAAGATGTGATTGTGATCCTTTTCTAAGAAATATGAATGTGACAGAGAAAAAGAACGTAGTAATGAAATAGTTTGTTAAACTTTTTTTCATACTTTTTCTTTTTGTTTGTTTTGTAGTATATAGTTATATAAAAGTATATCTATCAAAAATTATTATATATAAAAAAATTAGTCTTGTGTTGATGTCCCCATATAACTTGTCTCTAATAAATGCACATCTACTTCATGGTTGATTGGCATGTGAGTCTCGGTGTCACCTTATCCTTGGCCATACGGCAGAGAACTGTTTGCTGACAGCATGCAAGCTGGCTTTTGAACACCTGTTTGTTCAGCTTCAAATGATATATAAATAAAATATTAAAGTTTGTTATTTGTATACTAATTTAATTAATTTAATTTTACGTTAATGTTGTCATAGTTCTAATATCCTTTTTATCTGTGTGTATCAAGAGGTGTTTCTGGACATCATCTGTCCAAAATACTTTACGCATCAATGTTAAAATCATGTGTTGATTGCGTGGACACAGTTATGCGAGGCAACTTGGCCCAGGTTTGCTGTCTGTATGCAATCAGCCAATCACCAAGAGATCAAAGGACCAGAAAAGTCACTGCTAGCCGCCAAACAATAACATGTCCCTTGACCAAGGGCATGTTATGGAGCGCAGACTGAATTGAGAATAGAAATTCTCAACTGAACAAATTAACAGCCAACTAACTTATACTAACACAATCACGCAAATGACACTACATAAGCAAATCTAACCATCCGTTTTAGTGTTTAAGCACTTCGACAAATGATTCAAAAGATTTCATACAGAGTAATAAATGCATAAAAAAGAGAACACAATTAATTTAGGTGGTTCACATGATTAGAGTGAGCTAAAAAAGTGCCAATAAAACCAAACCCAAAAACACACTGATGAATCTGACCCATGATGCATTTTAGTGTCGTAGTTGATATAGAAACTGACCCATGAAAAAATTTCTTCTAGGGGCTGCCACTGGCAAGGGCAGCTCCCATTTGACCCATGCTTGCTCCGCCTAGCGGCTATAAAGATGAATTAGTCTCCACAACTTAACAATCTCTCAGTTGGAGGCTAATTAACCAAATTGTTGCTCTCTCTCTCTCTCTCTCTCTCTCTCTCTCTCTCTCTCTCTCTCTCTCTCTCTCTCTCTCTCTCTCTCTCTCTCTCTCTCTCTCTCTCTCTCCAAGTACCTGGAAGGCTAGTTAAAGCCATGCACAACTTTAATTTTCTATAGTCACCACCTTGCACTACAAGAAATAATCCCTTTAGCGACACCTCTATAGCGACGACGTTAGCCTTTAGTGGTGACTTCAGATAATGTCGCCGCTAAAGGTTATTGTCATCACTATAGAGGTCGCCGCTGAAGGGATTCCACCGGTGATCCTCTTGTGCCATACGCCATTTGATCGTGACCGTACGCTGCTATACTGATCCATCGGTTAGAGTTTTATCTCATGGGAGGTAATAGAGGCGACACCAATTGCGATGACATGTCGCCGCTATTGATGGCGATCCGTATGAATGTCATCGTGACCGTTCGATTATTTTTGGATCGGACGGCTAATAATCACGACAGAAAGGCGCATGTTTTTCCGTCCAACTTGTCGCCGCTATTGCCTCGGTGTCGCCGCTAAAGGTAACGCCCTTTTGACCCCCTTCGTCCCAGACGACCCAGTTCCTGCGTTATCTCCTCCTTCTCACAAAACTCCGACGAACAACGTTCTATGGTGCGATTTTCCGGTGTAGACCACCAACACAAACCACCACTAACCATAGATTGCTTATAGGCCTTCATTTTCCGGTGACTTCCGGCGTTTTCCGGCGAATTCCGAGTTTTTCCAGCGACAATATTCCTTTGGTAACATGCGTTTTCTCTTCCCTTTTCTCTTTCTCTTGTTTTCTAACCAATATTTAACCCTAATTTCATTATTTTGGTGCTTTTAAGGTAATCTCCGGTGAATACCACCACCACATCACCACATTTGTTCCCACCAACTTCAATTTCCGGCGACTGGTCGTACTTTCTGGCGACACGTCTCATTTTCCGGCGATAGCAGGTTCTTCTTTCATTTTTCTGTTCTTAATATATATGAAATGTATATACTTTGGTATGTGAAATGTGTATATTTTGGTAAGTGAAATCTACATGAAATGTATGAATATGTATGAAAAAATGTATTTGTATGTGTATGTATGAAAAAGTGTATGTGAAAATGTGTGTATTAGTGTATTTATATGTAAAATGTATGTATATGTGTATATATATGAAAAAATATATCTAAAAATGTATGTATATGAAATATTGGCATTTTTATGTGAAAATGTAGGTGTTTGTATGTGAAATGTATATATGTATTTCTCAAGGTTGCAGAAATCGCTTGGCAGTAGCTCGGCAGTGGACTGGGATCAATGGATTAATCGGTTAGGCGGGGATTAATCGGGGGATTAATCGGGTACCATTAATTATTAAAAAATAGTATTAAAATTTAATAATTATAACATTTATCCTAAGAATATAAATAAATAAGTTAACAAATAATAAATATGTAATACATAATTTATTTTTCTTTTAAATTTGTAACTTTCTCCTCTTAAGCATTTACTCAAACACTTGGAATGCTAGTTAAGTTATTTCATAACAAACCCAAAACATATGAAAAAAATTGACCATTATTAAGATATCTCACTGACTAAACTAACAATATATAGGTCTTGTGAAAACAAAACTCAAAAGAGACTTCCAGCTCCCATGAAACACACCACACATCACAAAACCCATCACCCAGGTATGCCATTTGGAAACTCGATTTCCCCTATGATCATCAAGTAAATGAAACTCGATTAACAAGCTCCAACAATGGCGATTTTGCTTTACAAGATCCGAAGTCTGAACTCTAAATTCTTCTACTAAATCATGGAATGAATAGAAAAAAATACCTGTAAATTGAATATGGAATTTTTTAATAAAAGTTGTAATCGATGATTTTAATTCATACATACAGAAAAACAGAAGTAATAGTTACCCTGTAACCTTGATTGGCAGCTTCAGATGGATGAAAACTATCCTAGAACACATACTGAGACGCGTTGGAACATGTCCCAATCGATTTAGGTTTACATAAGAACACCGTCCTTTCCACCCTTCCTGTTCCACAACACCCTCTCGATGCATCCACAAAGCCTAAAATTTCAAGAAATATCACTTAATAATTGGTATATAACACAACAAAGATTAGAGTTGGAAACTTGAACTGGAAACAGATTAGGTTCAAAAAATGCTTAAAAAAATTCTAGAAATTGGTTAAACCCGTTTTCTTCCCCAAATAATTTCTATAAATTGCAATTCGAATAGCAAATAGAAGAATGAGAAGTGGAGACTGGAGACTAACTTGAAGGAGAAGTCGGAGGATGAACAGAAAACGACAGACGAGGAACAGAAGGCATCGGAGCCTCACACAGAAGCTTCAGCAGAAGACGACGAACTTCTAACGTTACCGATGTGCTTCAAACGAACTTCAGATGAGAAAGATGGCGGCGTGGTGGACGGAGAAGAAGATGATGACACCGTGAATGGAGAAGACCATGGCAACGTTCGTTCTTTCCTTCCTTGAGTCCGACAGAGAGAATTTCAAAACAAAAAAAAACGAATGCGATGCAATGGGGGTAATCGAAAGGAACCCTACCATCAATTTTTACATTTTGACAATTTAGCCCCTGAAATTTTTTAAGTTTCGTTGACCAAAGTTAACCGATTAGAGCGCCTAGACCCGCCTAGCTCCGATAATCTCCGGCTTTGACCGATTTTGACCACGTCCGATTAGAGAGGCCGATTAGCTATAATCGTCATCAGTCGAAGACCGCCAAGCGCCTAGGCGCCGATTATTGCAACACTGGTATTTCTATATGAAATGTATTTGTATGTATGAAAAAATATATGTGAAAAAAATATGTATAAGTGCATTTTGTAACACCCAGAATCAGAAAGACCAAGAAAGGAAAGGAAACCCTGAGTCAAAGGGGTCAACTCGTCGAGTCTAGGGAAGAACTCGACGAGTCGGAGCGGGTTCCGTGTCAAAGATTAAGTGACCGACTCGGTGAGTCGGCGAGTGGACTCGACGAGTCTGGTCTGGGTTTGGAAACCCGAATTCCAGGACTTGGTACCCTATTTAAGCATCTTATTCTCTTCCCTAGGGCTCATTTGTGGCCCCTATTGTCCAGAACTCGAAACCCTAGCCACCCAACTCCATTGTTGAGCTAGTTCTTGCCTTGAGAGTGAATTGAAGCTTGGAGAAGGAAGAAGGACCTTAGTGGTGCAAGAAGAAGCTATAGACCCAGAGTTGGGGTACCATTTCAGAGGTAAAAAGCTTATACCTTGACTGTTAATCATCGAGATCCCCTTTCTAGCATAGATTTTGTCACATTTGGACCATTTCCAAGGTTAATCCGAACATTGAGCCATTGAGGACGAAAAGGACTTAAGATCTAAGAATTTCTGAGCTTTAGAAGCTCTTAGGGGGCAGCTTTGCCTAGCCATGGCATCATTTCATGACCTAGTCCTTCTTTGTAGCTTGGATTAAGTGTTTTAGCCTCATAATACCTTGCATGCACGTAAAGTTAGCAACTTTACGTGCAATGTTAGCATTAGAAGTCCAGATATATGGGTTGAAGGTGTTGCAATGGACTGTAATCGACAGAATAGAGATATCACAAGGTGGACTTGGCGAGTCAGTTCATGGACTCGGCGAGTCGGTTCGCAAACCCAAACCCTTCTGTTTATGATTCGGATCAGTGAGTGGAGTTAGTAAAAGGATTCAACCAGACTGGGTCCATAATGGAAATGAAGATCATAGTACTCGACGAGTTCGAAGAGGAACTCGGCGAGTCCGAGACAATCTTCTTAGTTATGAAGATGAACTCGACGAGTTGTTCATACAACTCAGCGAGTCATGGCCTAGATATTCATACGATGATGATGAACTAGACGAGTTCAAGGATGAACTCGGCGAGTCGGTTGAAGATTGTCCCGAAGTGTTAGATGAAGAAGAACTCGTCGAGTGAAGTCGGGGTTGTTTTGGGATTTGAGGAGCATGGAATCGACGAGTTGGCAGAACAGCTCGACGAGTCGAGTCAACTGGAAGGTTGACTTTGACTAGGACTTTGACCTTGAGAAGGACTTTGACTAGAGTTGACTTAGTTGACTTCTTGAGGACAGTTAGGCTAAGTGTTACTATTATTTGGTATTGGTAGCTCGGGGAGCTAGAGGAGCAGCAGTTCATAGAGTTGTTGGATAGCGGCCAGAGGGTTATCAACAGTTTCAGCAGTATGAGGTGAGTTACCTTCCAGTAGCATTGGGTCTACGACCACAATGCCGACCCACCAGTAGGAGTTGAATTATAGATGATTGTCTTTCTGATATTCATCTAGGTCTGCTACTACCTGATATGTTATATGTTGGCATGATATGTTATATGTGATAGTGGTAGTAGGGGGAGAATAGTTCCCAAGTTCGGTTGTTAGGACCGAAGGGTAGGTCGGACACCCCATATATGTCTGACAGTATGTTATGATATGTTTATATGCTGGCATGATATGTTATGTGTGTTAGTGGTAGTAGGAGGGGAATAGTCCCCAAGTTCGGTTGTTAGGACCGAAGGGTAGTTCAGACACCCTAGATATGTCTGATAGTATGTTTATGTTATGATATATGCGATAGTAGCAGTAGGGGTGGAATAGTCCCCGAGGTTTGGTTGTTAGGACCGATGGGTAGGTCAGCACCCCAGAATGGCTTGACACGGGTAGCTCAGCACCCCATAATGGCTTGACACGGGTAGGTTGGCACCCCAGAATGGCCGTACCGGGTAGGTCGGCACCCCAGAATGGTCGTACTGGGTAGGTCGGGCACCCCAGAATTGCCCGACAGTATGTAGGCTATTTGATTTTATGGTATGTGGTACGATGGGGGAACTCACTAAGCTTCGTGCTTACAGTTTTTCAGTTTTGTTCAGGTACCTCTTCAGCGAAGGGGAAGAAGCCGGCGCGGTAGCTGCACATCATACACACACATTGGATTTCTGCACTATGAGATTTCTTGGGATTGTACTCTGACATTGTTACTAATTTCATGATACGATTTTAGACATGAGATTATGGTTTTACGAAATGATATGACTTGATGATGTTTTCTTATAAATGTTTTCTAAATTTTTATATCAAAATTGAAATTTTTGGACTCGAAATTTGGGATGTTACAAGTTTGTATCAGAGCCCTGGTTTGAGGGATTCAGACACACCCTCGGGAGTGTCTGAGCTCAAACCGAGGGATTAAAAGATTTTTACAAAGAAAATAGTTTTCTAAAATCTAAGTTAAAGAGTTTTGAGAAAGAACAAGGTGTGTGACGTGCGCGACTGACCGAGCTTAAGTAAGTACCCCAAAATACCGATACAAGTTATGTTGTGCTATGTTTATTAGAACTGCATGCTAGATTAGGACTAAGGTTCTAGGAAGATGCCTTATGTGCCTGCTTTATGTGTATGAGCTTTATGAATTGCATGCTAGTACAGATTCCCGATTAGAGGATAGAACAACTTGATTGGATTATGTGGTTAGTTTATTTCCCATTGTCTGAATGCTGCTTGCTTTGTGCTTGTGGGACTCTTAGTAATGTGAGTTAGCTATTAAGTGAATATGCTAAGTCACATGGGGCACAGGATGGATAATCTCAGAGTGATGGAGTTGACCCTATTATGTAGCTCTCGTTTGAGTCTAACCGTTCTAGGGATGAGTCGATTACTCGAAAGATTATCTGATATCTGTTGCATGTGGCTATATTCATGAGGTAGCTAGTTAGAATTAATGGGAAGTCCTTCAGCAGCTGAGGACGGAATGAGTTAGATGATACCCTAGGGGCAAGCCTGGGATGAGAGTAGTGCTAGGAGCAGTGTTAGTAGCAGTGAAAGGGACTTGGCGTATTCGAGGCAATTCTTGAGGAAAGTACAGCTAGATGTGGAAGGTAGTAGGGGCCCATACTACTGAAAGCAGAGGATCTGTACTCGATTCAAGATGGGCTGAGATAAAACCAGGAAACTTGCAGTGTGCGTATGAGTGATCCCTCAGCAGTGATGAGTATTTTGATAGTTATTGTGATGTGTTTTCAGCATGGTGACATTGCACGAGAGACCAGTGGGTGGATCAGGCGCCGGAGAGGGATCAGGCTCGGGTTTAGGGACCGAGCAGCTTGAGGAGCGGATGAGAGAGTTTGTATCAGCTAAGATCATGCGCAGTATCTTGGACCAGACTTCGTGATCTTTGGCACAGTCAAGGAGGGTATACTAGAGATTTTGGACGAGAGGCTAGGAGCCTTTCGCGTAAAGATGATGGCTTTGATGCGAGCGCGTACCTTGACATTCCGGGAGTTCAGAGCCTGTGGAGCTCCAGATTATCATGGGGCTAGGGATCCCATTGCTAGCAGCAGATGGTTGGCCGATGTTGCCAACGCTTTCCGTACGAGACGGTGTCCCGAGGGGGACAAGGTCCGACTAGCCTCCTGTCTTCTGAAGGACAGAGCACAAGATTGGTGGGAGGAGGTTGGACATGCCATTGGTGATGATGCCGTGTTGGACGCGATGACATGGAGTGATTTCTCGGCCAGGTTCAGGGCTGAGTTGCACCAATTATTGAGGTGCAGCTGTTGGCACGGGAGTTCCAGGACCTTCAGCAGACGACAGAGTCAGTGGTGGAGATCACCGCCAAGTTCAGAGAGAGGGCTCTTCTTGTTCCGCAGTATGTCTCGGATGAGGAGATGAAGAAGGCCCGATATCACGAGATGATGAGGAGTGACATTAGGGAGTTTGTGAGCAGGTCCAACTGCAAGGCACTGGAGGATATGATTGCTCGAGCCAGGGAATGGGAGATCAATTTGGAGCAGATCCGGAAGAGGAAGCCGGATGAGATTCAGGTAGCCACGGGTTCGGGAAAAAGGCCCAAGGGGTCAGATTCGAGATCGAGGGACTATCAGAGCTACAGTCGATGCGGGAAGTGTGGCAGGACGCACGAGGGTGTATGTAGGAGTGGTAGTGGTGGTGATTCTGGCTGATTCAAATGCGGCCAAAATGGTCATTATAGTAGAGATTGTACTGCTACCATCGCTCAAGGATCAGACCTGATATGTTTCCATGGCAATCAGCGGGGCCACAAGAAGGCCCAGTGCCCGAGCTTGCTTTCAGTAGGACAGGTGATAGCACCTGCCCCTGCGACATTGAGGATCACTGATGGCCGTCAGGGCCGAGCAGAGGCGCCTGCGGTGAGGAGCAGCGCATTTTAGTGGTCTACAGTGGAGCCGCGAGCAGCACCGGATGTTGGAGGTGCGTATCTTCTATTTTCTTGTCAACTTTTATTTTATGGTTATGGTACTGCATCGACGTTAGTAAGCATATATATATATATATATATATATATATATATATATATATATATATATATATATATATATATATATATATATATATATATATATATATATATATATATATATATATTGGAGTATTATATTACCTGCTTGTAATTGAGTTATATGCCATCTGCATACCATGGACGATAGGGTAGTAGTTCGAA